GATCCTACTTGGGGATTGAAACCAATGTGAAGAGAGAACAAAGCAGATGGGGTCCTAGTCCCTATTCATCCCTATCCTTGGCTTCAGTTGGAGAACCTTCTGGGCCCCAAGGACAAAATCTTCCTTCTACTTCTCTGCTTCTTTGCTCAAGGGTATGGGCTCCGTGCCTTCAGAGAGCTCTGGTAAATGCAGCCTGGAGATGACTCATCCTATTGAGATCCTAGCCCCTTCCTCCCCAGGCGGCGTCAGCTCAGCCGGAAGTGTGCTGGCCAGACAGGGCACGGAGCTCTCACCTGGTCCTTCTCAGGGTAGACACCAGCTCGGAGGAAGGAGGCCTTCCAGCTGTCCACTTCCTCTTGGGACTCACAGGCCAGCTCGATCTGCCGGAGGTCCTTATAGACATTCCTGTGATGGGAAGAAGAGAGAGAGGCACATGACTGACCTTGACTATGGGCCCAGATTGGGTGTAATGAGCTCTAGGGTCTGAGTGACTGGGATTCAAACGTGACCCAGGCACTCACGACCAGAGACCCCAGGATGATAGCAGCTTCTGTAACCTATCCTGTACCACAGGGCAGGCATGGCTGGGATGGCCAGGCTGCCCGAAGTCTCTGCGTGAGATTTGGGTTTGAGGTGGGGCATTGCACTGTGATGGAGCTCTGGCCAACTGGTGGTTAGTGAGTGGCGGCGGCCTGGAGAGATTTATGGGAGGAGTTGTGAAGGGAGGAGCATGCCTGGATTGCTCCTCCTCTTCCCTGATGCCTGTGTCATTATTGGGCTGGCTGCAGTTTGGGCAGCAGCCTTGGACAATGAGGAAGGCTGAGGGCTAAGGAGGACCTGCGCCCAGATACCTGTGGAGCTGCCCCACTTGCTCTGGATGGTAAAGTCTTAACTTGATTTATATAAAAAGTGGAACATCTATCTTATTTTTGTTACTATTATTCTGGGTTTTCTAAACTCCTAAACAATATATCAGGTAATATCTTCAACCCCTGTGCAGGGGGACACAGGGTCAGCGTGGTGGGACAGTTGCCAGTGTCACTCAGCCAGGAAAAGCTCCCCAACAGGTCCCCTCGCAGAGCCCAGATTCTCCATGTGCCCCGCCTAGGGATTCTTGGGCAGGGGAGGTAGTGGAGCCTCACACGGCTATAAAGGTTTTTGAAGCCAGCGGATGGCCAAAGTAGGTCTTAAGGGCAGTTCAGAAAAAAGGATAGAGTTTTTCTTACAGTGGAATTGGTGTGCAGACAAGCAATGTGGTGGTGGCTGGGAGGATGTCAATCACCTGCCAGCTGGCTCAGGTGGTCCCTAGTTCCTGGAAGAGGATGTGTGTGTGTGTCTTAGGGAGGGCCCTCCCCCTCCCTTCCTGAGTTGAGAAAAGTGCCTTTTCTTATGCTAATGCCTCCCAACACACTATGGGACAGATTTACTGAGGGCCTCCTGGTCCCTTCTCCATCTGCACTCAATCCCATACTGTCTGACTTTAAATACCATCATGGCCCTATCCGGTCTGGCCCAGTGGATAGAGTGTTGGCCTGCAGACTGAGAGGTCCCAGGTTGGATTCCAGTCAAGGGCATGTACCTTGGTTGCGGGCACATCCCCAGTAGGGGGTGTGCAAGAGGCAGCTGGTCGATGTTTCTCTCTCATCGACATTTCTATCTCTCTATCCCTCTCCCTTCCTCTCGGTAAAAAAAAATCAATAAAAATATATTTGATAAAAATAAACAAATACCACCATGCAAGCACAATTTCCCAATTCACATCCCCTCCTGAGGCTTGTTCCTAAACGCCACACTCTTTTTTCTAAAAAAATATATTTTATTGATTTTTCACAGAGGAAGGGAGAGGGACAGAGAGCTAGAAACATCAATCAGCTGCCTCTTGCACACCCCCCACTGGGGATGTGCCCGCAACCAAGGTTCATGCCTTTGACCGGAATCGAACCTGGGACCTTTCCGTCTGCAGACCGATGCCCAATCCACTGAGCCAAACCGGTTTCGAAAAAACGCCACACTCTTATATCTACCCAGTCACCTCCCAAAACCCCACAGGCCTCTTCATGGCTCCTGTCTCCAGCTTACCCTGCCTCCACCTCCCCATCACGGTTGCTGGCAGCTCCCTCCCTGCAGGAGCTCAGGGTCACCAGCAATGCCTTTCTCTCCATATCCACCAGAAGTTTGGCAGCTCCTCCTCTGTCCCTAAGCGCCACCCAGGTCCAGCCCTATCGTCTCCCACCTGGACCAGCACAGTCTTTTGGTCCAGGTGCCCTGGGCCCCCGCCACACTCCCATGTCTGTCTCCCACGGCCACGGGAGGGCGCCTGTGAGCACCTGAGTCAGGTCCCATTCCTGTTTAGAACCCTCCAAGCTCCAGCATCATTTCATCTGTCTCTGCCCAGAGGGTCCTCCCTGACTACCCATGGCATTTTTTTCAATGGGCTTTCTTTCTAGAATGTGATATGCCAAGGTAGGGACTATATTCATCAGTCCTCAGTGGATGCTGCTGAATGACGGTAAGTCTCCACCCTGGGACCCCGTGGGCACCCACCTCTGCTCCGTGTTGAAGATGGCAAAGACGTGCTTGTTGGACATGAAGCCCTTCTCCACGTCACGGATTTTGAGGTTGTCCAAAGGCAGCATGTATTTCTTCTCTTTCTCCTGAGGGAGGAAGGGCAGGGTCAGCCTATGCTGTTTATCCGAAGACCTGAGGATGCCCAGGGCTGGGCTCTACTGCAAGGACCACTGCCAACAGTTGATGCTTCTCATTTTAGCCACATTACTCAGGTTAACTCGTCCACTACCGCTGCCCCCTTGTTCACTGCCCCAGCCATGCTAGCCTCCTCCACACTCCCCTAACATCCCGGGCAAGCGCCCACCCAGGACCCTCTGCACATCTGGGACCTCTGCCAGGAACACTCCGTGTCTGTGGCTCCCTCCCTGCCCCCTTTGGGTCTTTGTGCAGAGGAGACCTTGGCAACACCTGCCCTAACCCTAACCCAACCTCCCTCAGATCCCAACTTCTTTCCCCTTGATGCTTCCCCTCACAACACAACTTTATATCTTGCTATTGATGTGGGCTGCTGTCTGTCACCGGGCTGACTCCTCAGTTCCTAGAGGGCAGGGACTCCTATCTATTTGGTCTCTGCTGACATACAGTGGATGCTCAAAGCTGGCCAGCTCTGACTCCACCCAGAATCCACTTCTCCCCTTCAGGCTGAGGGGATGAACTGTTAACTCAGCTACAGCCTCACAATGAACCTGGAAGTGAGCTACCACTGGGCTCCCTTCTACAGAGGGGAAGGAGACAGAGGCACTGAGAAGGGCAGGCAGGGAGGCAGGGGCAGGGCTGGAATTTCAGGTGACCCAGGAGCTGGAAAGCAAGGCTTCACTGAACTGATTGATGGCTGAGCTCCAAAGCCACAGAAGTGTCCCTGGGTTCCTAAGGGCCCCATCTAGGAAGTGCCTTTAGAGAACAGCCTAGAGCCCAATGCTCCCCACCATTGTCGGCAAAGCATCTACAGGACCAGCGCATTGTTAGTTTTCACAACAGCCATGTGTGCGCATGCACGGGCACACATTAACTGGGTTTCCATACCAGGAAACCAGAGCATGGTGTTAGGGTTCCCCAGCTCCCATGCCCACGTGACCCATATTAACTCTCAAGGACCAATGGGAAGTTTGCTCCTCTATCAGCTCATGACACCTCCCACCACCCCTGCCAGGGAAGCATGCTCGGAGGGAGGCTGGCTGCCCAGGGCCACTTAGGGACGTGTGCCCCCAACTACGCTCTCTTCACCATTCTGCTGGCCAGTCACCTCCTGGCAACTTTGGAGGAGACCTGTCTCCTCACCTAGCAATTCACTGCTTTCCACCTCTCTTGTCCCTGTCTGCCAGAAGGCCCCAGAACAAAGCCCGACATGGCTGCCGTTTCCAAATCCAAGAGCAACCAGTGACGGAGGGGAAGGGGGCCAGGGCTGGTTCAGAGTTTCAAGACTACAGACAGGGAGGCAGGAGCTGGTGGTCAGCTTGGTGCCAAGCATGGGCTGTCCTTGGGTACTAGGAGCTCAGACCTCTGCCCGTCCCTGAGCAAGCCACTGCCCCTCTATCAAAGGCAGACAGGAGTCTTGCCCTCCTTGTCTGAGGTGAGATTGATACTTTGTGAGAAAGTACGGATTATGTGCCAACCCATAGCCAGTGCTTACAAGACACCAGGGTTTTCTTTCGTCTGTGACTCTCATGCTCCAGGGTCAGCCTATGTAGGCTCTGGGCAGGGAGGAAGCAGACATAGCGCTTCTCCAGGTCGAGCTGCAGTGAGAGAGGCCCTGTGCCGAGGAAGATGGGACACACACACACACACACACACGCTTCAGGCTCCAGACTTGGAGCCCAAGGGGGAGAGTGAGGTGAAGACAGGGTGTACCCGTTGTCCCAGGCAGTTTGGGGGGCTTTAGAAGAGAACAGGGCAGGAGTTCCCTGACTGGAAGTTTGTGGAAAGGCCTTCACTGCCCCGCCCTGCTGTGTCATGAGGCAGGAAGCTTCTAGTCAGCTAGCCAGGCCAAGTAACTGAGTCACAGTCCTTTTGGACCCCGAGCGAGACGCCACATCTGGAACTGTTTATAGTGTGATTCCACCCAGAGCACAGCGGCTGCCTTCCCGGTGCTGCCGGCGCACGTACACACATACACACACACTCACACACAGAGCCTGTGTGTATGTGAGTGTATGTGAGTGTGTGTGTGTGTGAGTGGTGTACGTGTGCGCGCCCGCCCCTATCCTGACCCCCAACGAAAGCGTCTCCCGCACGCAGAGGCCACGCACCCAAACCCTCCTTCCCACCCACCCCCTCCTTAGGATTTCCTGAAAACCCACAACTTTCTCCAGATGCAAGCCAGCCCAGCCTGCCACGTCAGAGAAGCTGGAGCGACTGTCCCGGGCGGAGGGGGACGTCCTCGCCTGCTCAGAGGTGCCGAAGCGTGGGGGGCCCACAGGATGGACACCAGCCCCGCCAACCCAGTGTTCAGACTACCTGTTCAGGGGGCTCCGAATGTGTACAGTAGTCTGCACATTGGTTAGGCTGGGCTTGGGCCAGCAGCACGTCGGGACAGGGGCCCCCCAAACTTCCTGCCACCCCCACCAAGAGACAGACCTGGAGGTGAGTATTATTGCCCACCACCCTGTTTCCCACTGGGGTGGAGACTAAGATGGAAGGTTCTGGAGTACAGAAATAGGGTTTGGGTGGGAGAGAAGGTTCCAGGGAAAGGCAGAGGGAGTCCCGGCGCCGGTCATAAGATTGGGGGGGCCCTGGCTGAACCATCCCCCTACACCCACCTCTGGCAGTAACCACCCCTTGTTTATTTTTAAAAATAAATACAAATATCCTGCCCTCTCTGAGGCTTCCCTAAGGAGCCCGGCGCTGGGGGTGGCCACCGTGTGTGACTCTGAGGGTCCCGGCTGGAATCCTAACCCGGGCGGAGGCACAGGATTTCGCTCCTGCCCCTCCCGATCGGAGCGGCTTTGTGTCTGGGGCAAACACAAGGCCCCTTTCACAGGCCTGCTGGTTCTCATTACCACCGGCGGGCATTTGACCCTCCTCCCAACACTTCCCCTGCCTCTGGTCTGGGGCCCCAAGGGAGAGGCTGGGGCTCCTGCTTTCAACCCCCACGTGAGAGACAAACGAAGTTCAAGAAGACAATCTCTGAAAATTGGACTTGCAATGGTGCCGAGCGGTGAACTGGGTTAGGGGTTGGGCTCAGAAGCCCCTTTATAACTGCCTTAGGCCGGCATCAGGCCCTGGCACCCCCCAGCCCAAAGGCGGGGACCAGCCCTGAGCTTGCCTGACAGCTGACAAACCACAGAGCAGGCTGAGCTTCAGACTATGGGGGCGGAGAGGGGAAAAATGTGAAAGCGACACCCCACCCCTCACCCAGCCATTTTAAAGAGCTGATGTGGCCACCAGGGTTCCTTGAGGAATGCCTGGTCTCACCCTCCCCCCACATCTAAACCCTATGAAGCTGTGGGGTCTGGAACAACCCCCCACCTTTGTTTAAAAACAGCCACCCAGACAGGGTCCCTCCCTTCAGGAGACCCAGAGCTCCTGAGGTTTCCAGAACATTCCAGGGTGAGTGTCTGGACTGTGGAGTAGGATGATTTCACCCCAAACACGACCCCTTGGAGGAATCCACATCCGGCTGGGGCTGTGGGGCAGTGGTCCAGGCCGGGGCTGAGGTGTCTCTCAGGTCAGGAGCTTGTGCCCTTTCCCCACCCGTGGGGCCCCTCCTCTGCTCTGTGACGGCCAGTCACCAGCTGGAGGCTGCTTCCTCACGGACAAAGTATGAGGACTCCCTGAGGAGGATCCTCTCCGCGTGTGGCGTCAGTGGGCGACATAAACAAGAGCCACTCACCCAGGAGCCCCAACAGAGCTCTACCTGCCTCTTCTCTGGACCTGGGAGGAAACATGCAGTTGGCCCAGGCCTGGCTGTCTCGGAATGGGGCCGTCTGCCAATGGGGTCTCCAATCTGGGCCGTTTCTAAAGGGGGTCCTCGCCAATTCCCAAGGGGAGGCTCCAGGGCTAACGTCTCTGAAGGCACCTGGGCTGGGCTGGGGGCTATGCCATCCCAGATAAGCAGGACACACAGTGGCTATATAACTAGAATCTGGTCAGGAACATGTGCGTGAGCAGTGTGATGCGTGCACATTCTCCGTTAGGCCCTTATTTCCCTTGTTGGGGCTGCTGGAGGCCATGTGGTGATGGGCGGGAACCCTGGTGGCCACATCAGCTCTTTAAAATGGCTGGGCGAGGGGTGGGGTGTCGTTTTCACATTTTCCCCATCCTGGACAGCGAGGGGAGTCCTGTGTTAAAGCAGCAACTAGAAAAGAGAAGCCTAGGTCCTGGTCAGCCTGCAGCACAGAGCCACCGAATCCACCAGGGACACGTACGAGAAGCGGACTTCTGTTTCGGTAAGTGCCTGTCACAGATACACAGCACTGCCCTGGCCAACAGGGAGAGCCTGTGGGTCTCAGAAGGCAACTCAGAAAAATGACAGACACAGCGCTCCTGGCTGGAGAAATGGGCCACTCAGGATGGGAAAAAGGGCTGAAGCACAGACAGAGGATGGTCCTGAACAGCAGTGCCTCCCTCTCGCCTCCCTTTTCCCCTCCGCTCGCAGCTCCCTGCCCCCCTGTTCATGGAGACAGCAGCTCAAACAGCATACAATACTGCTCCTGGTGCTATTCCTCTGGCCTGATCAGGACAAGAATGTGTGTAATGTTCTAAAGACGACACTATGGCTCAGCAGGTAAGGACCATCCTTTCCACTTCACAGATGAGGAAACTGAGGCCTAAAGAGGCGAAGGGCTTGGTTGAGCCCATATAGGTTGTATCCCATGGAATCCCAATACTCTAGCAGCCTGGCTGTAAGCCTGAGTCCCTGATCCCAGCTGTGTTCCTCCTGTGAGCCAGTACTTCCCCTTGCTATGCCTTTGGAGGCTGGGGTCTGTTTCCAGCCCACCAGTGGCTCCCTCCCTCCTCTTCCTTTCCTCCACAGGGACAATGGGGGCTGGGATATAAAGTGTGAAGCCTGGGACACCTTCCAGCCTTGGCTGTTACCATCCTAATGGTGACCTCTGAGGCACAATGGTACTCACGAAACATTTCTTGAATGAACAAGTCAGTAAATGAGTAAACAAATGAATGAATAAGTGAGTGACAAGTGAGGGGCCACCATTCTTGCCCTTTGGCTTCAGCTCTGCCAGTCACTCACCTCCTCATCCTTGTACCAGGACAGAGATTCGGCCGTCAGCACAAACCAATACTCCTTGGAGCCGCCCTTCATGAGGCTGATGTTGTTGATGGTCAGCCAGCCCTTGCGGATCACCTGGAGAGAAGGACACAGCTCAGTGGAGGACCCACCGCCCAGCCCAGCCCACCCCCAGCACAGCAGCCAGAGCCCTTGCCCCCAGCAAGACAGGAAGCCAGGGACCAAGACAGAGCTATCTCCAACCCAAAGACAGCCAACCTGCCCTGACTGGCAGCTCAGGTGGTTAGGCGTTGGCCCAATACACCAAGGCTGTGGATTCGATCCTCAGTCAGGACACATGAAAGAATCTACTGCCCTAGCCGGCTCAGCTCAGTGGGTAGAGCATCGGCCACTGGACTCAAGGGTCCTGGTTTAATTCCAGTCAAGGGCACATGCCCGAGCCTGATCCCCAGTAGGGGGTGTGTAGGGGGCAGCCAATCAATGATTCTCTCTCATCACTGATGTTTCTCTCTCTCTCTCCTTCTCTTCCTCCCTTTCTCCCTCCCTCTCCTTTCCTGTCTGAAATCAATAAAAATATATTTTAAAAAAATAAATCTAGCCAAAACCGGTTTGGCTCAGTGGATAGAGCGTTGGTCTGCGGACTGAAAGGTCCCGGGTTCGATTCCAGTCAAGGGCATGTGCATTGGTTGCGGGCACATCCCCGGTAGGGGGTGTGCAAGAGGCAGCTGGTCGATGTTTCTCTCTCATCGATGTTTCTAGCTCTCTATCCCTCTCTCCTCCTCTGTAAAAAATCAATAAAATATATTTAAAAAAAAAATAAATAAATAAATAAATAAATCTACCAGTGAGGCCCTGTCTGGGTAGCTCAGTTGGCTAGAGTAATATCTCAATATGCCAAGGTTGTGGGTTCGATTCCTGGCCATGGCACATACAAGAATCAACCAATTAATGCATAAATAAGTGGAACAATAAATCAATATTTCCCTCTCACTCTCTTTCAAATCAATTTTTTTTTTTAAATATTAAAAAATCAAATAGCCCAGCTGGTGTGGCTCAATGGTTGAGTATCCAACCATGAACCAGGAGGTCATGGTTTGATTTCTAGTCAAGGCATGATCCCCAGTAGGGGACATTCAGGAGGAAGCTGATCCATGATTCTCTCATAGATGTTTCTAGCTCTCTCTCCCCCCTTCCTTTCCTCTCTCTGAACTCAATAAATACATATTTTAAAAAACCAATCAGTCAATACATAAATAAGTGGAACTCCCTTCCTCTTTAAAATTAATTAATAAATAAAAAAATTATATCTATATATCTATATACATACATATACAATATATATCTATATACATACATATATATAAACAAAACAGCCAACCCAACTTCATCTTGCCCCAAGCACTTTCCACTGGAAACCCATTGGGGCATGTGGGTGGACAGCCACTGATTCATTCACATGCCAGGGGTTAGGATGAGTTAGTACAGGTGGCAAAAGGTACGCCTGCTGAAAGGGGCCCAGAGGAGGGATCCAGGCTTGAGTGTGCAGCCACACAGAATGTGACAGTGGGTGAATCGTAATTATCTTAATGAGACATGAGCATGAGGGATGCCCCCCATCCCCTCAGGAAGGTCAATGGAGGACTGGAGGAGTCATCCCCACAATGAAAGTTGTATTTTCCTTTCAGGAGCCAAGCGGCAGAGGCTCAACTCAGCCTTGACTGCTGTCTACTTTGTTGGCTCATCTGACAGCAAACCAGGACAGGAGCTCAGCGGGCACAGGTACCTGCTTTGACAGCCCCCATCCTGGGGCTCCGTTTCAGGGCACGAGGGTGAAGGGATGCCTTCATCCAGAGCCCTGGGCGCATAGGTCTGAGCCCAGGGGACCTGCAGGGAATATGCCCGTCATCTTACTTTTCTCTGTCTGACACATTGGGCTGAGAGGCCTCCTGGATGGGGGGCATCAGGCAGTGGCTGTCATTTGAGTGAGAGGCAGAACCCAGGCTGGTGCAGGGGACTCACCTGTCAGGCAGCCTGGGGGGCAATGCTCTCATGTTCTCTGGGCCATGGAGGCATGTGTGGGCCAGAGCCCCCCACCAACCTAGAATGGGGACCCCAGGGCAGCGGGAAGCATGTGGAGGCACAGGCAGGGCTGCCTGGGGCCAAGGCAGCAACAGACTATGCCTACCTGCAGAGAGTAGGCTGCAAGCGGCCACAAATAGCTGAGAAGAGCTGGTAGTGGGACTCCAGATTGGGGTGGGGCAGGAGCACCCTACATGGGGACTTGGAGGTGCTTCTGGGGCCCATGTAACTTCCTAGTGGGTGGGTATCAGGATGGGCTGCATTCTGCCTATTCTGACCTGACTCCAGGCTTACAAAATCTTATCAGGGAGACCAACCCCCAACCCCTACTCCTCTTGGGGCTAGAATTAGGCTCTGAGCCTCGGAACGGAAAGATGGAGGTGGCCACAGAGCACTCAGAGACCCCTGCATCATGCAGAAGCCCCTGCCCAGGCTGGAGATGGCATGATGGCCGGAAGCCCTTGTTAAAACCAAGGGCATAGAATTCTCCCTCCCTTGGATGAAAAGACAGCATTCTGGAATCTTTTGGCCATCAGGAAGCAGGCAGTGACCTCTAACACCTGCCCAGCCACAGGCTGCCTGGCTGGTAAAGGGGCAGAGGCCATCAGCTCCAACAAGGTCATGGTATCCTCCTTCACAGTAGGATGACCAACTCACCCCAGTTTAGCACTAAAAGTCTCGAGTCCCAGGTAAAGCAGGAAAGTAGGTCACACTGAGGGCAAGGCTGGTCTCTAGACTCAGGCCTTCCTGCTTTGGGACCCGGGAAGCAGCCCCTGTATCTGGCCACCACACCCAGCTCCCAAGATTGGGGGCTCTGCTCAGGCCTGGTCCTCTGCTCCCCAGGGGTGAGTAGGGCCTGCCCTGGGTTAGTCCAGGCCCACAGAGTGAATGTTTCAGTCATTGATTGACAGCTGAGGGAGGAAGAGGGGAATGGAAAGACAGGCTGTCAGTGTTCCCCAGATAAATGCTCCCATGAGGCCTTTGCACTCATGGGCCCAGCCTGTGCATCAACCACCCTTTGCCTACAGGCCATGTGGCATGAGATGGGGGTCCCCCCAAGAATGGTACGAGTCTCAGGGCAGGAGGCTGCTAATCAGACCTGTAGAAGCCCCCGAGGTCCCTTCTCCCTCAAGCCATCCAGAGGGCTGCCTTCATGTGAATCCAACTGGGGTTAGAAACAGAACCCCACCATGGAAAGATGCAAGCTGTGGGTGGCAGACACAGGCGCTGAGCCTAAAGAAAAGGAGTACCTGGGGCCCCTAATCCAAAAGCCAGATTTGTGCCCAGGGGAACTGGGCTTAAAACAATGGGGAATGGGAGCAGGGTGGGCAGGACAGACAGAAGAGGCAGGCGGGGCTCCAGTGTACACAGCAATAGGCATGCCAGGGTGGAAGAAAGGACCACAGGGATAGCATGGGCAGCAGGCAAGAAGCAACACAGCTGGTGCCCACCAGCAGGGTTGGCCAGCCTCCTCCCAGTTGAGGGATCCAGCCTCAGTTGCCCAGGTAGGGACAGCAACCACAGCTGGGAGACCTGGGGACCAGCCATGCTCTCAGCAGGGCTGGGCTTTGTGAACAGGGGTCTGGAATCCAGCAGGAAAAGAATGACTAAACCTCTCAGGGTGTGGAAAGAAGCAGGCCCCTGGACTGTTTAGAGGCAAGAAATCATTCAAGTTCCAAAGGGGTTGGAGGTGATGTGGGAATCAGGAGCCAAAGAAACTCCATTTTTCTTGCTCCCTCCGCCCCCAAGCTCTGGCTCTTTCTGTATCCTCTGAGAGAATTCAAGGCCCTGGGCACAGTGAGGCCCTGGCACGGGATCAGCTCAGCTACTGGAAAGATCTTGGGGTCGAAGACCCATGCTAGAGGGCAGTGGGACCAGTACCTCAGTGGCTGGTGGTGGAAAACCATACCGGAGAAGGAGGCTGTTGTAAGGGCTGGGGGCCCAGGCCTTGCTCTCCAAGGTGGAGAGCTGGGACTGAGCCAGTTGCCCAGAGGCAGGCACCTTAAAAAAAGCTCAACTCTCAGACTTAAGCAGCACCTGCTACCTGGTGGGCTGGGCCACACAAGGAGAGGAAGTGTAACAACAGGGATGGCAAATATCACTTATGTGGGGGCCACACCCATCAACGAGTAGGAGCTGCCTGAAGTGCTGTGGTAAGAATTCTAGGTGCCATGGGAAAGAATGCTAGGATTGACAAGTGATGCCTGCCACAGGCAAAAGATAAGAGCTTAATCCATTGTGTATCTGCCATGGAGGCAGGATAGTGGCAGCATTCAAGAGTGAGTTCCCTGGTCCATTAGTCATGCCTGTCATGAACTGTGTCACATACAAAGCTATCATCTGGGAAATAAATTCCCCAGCCAATTAGTCATATCTGCCATAGAATGGGGAGTGGTGACATGCTTAGGAAAGAGTGCCAGGAATGGTTAGCAGGGTCTTCCATGGGCACATGACAGGGGAGAGGCATGGGGGAAAGGATGCTAGATCAATTAGTAATGCCTGCCATGAGCACAGGAAGGGGAAATTTTCCCCTCAATGATGTCTGAACTGGGGACAAAATGGCGGCAGTGGCAAGTTCCAGCAGAGCTTGAGCAAAACCTTCGGAGAAAGATGTGATAGAGGGAAGGGAGGGAGGGGTATTAGTCAAGTATTTGCCATCTCTGACCTACAGGAAACCAGGTCCGCATGTTAGGAATGGGCTGGAGGGGGGCCTTCCACCAGGCAGTGGTCAGGTTAGTCTGTGTAAGTCCGCTTATGCCCAGGGCAACACGACATCAGACATAGGCTGTGGCAGGGAGTAGGTTAGCTTGATTGTTAGTAGTCTTTTTATTTTGAGGGGAAGGGAATGTTAAGGAGTGGGGGGTCTCCACCACCACGACATTCTCTAATGTTTGCTACCA